GCGTTTGCAGCACGCTCAGCGATGGAGTAGGTTGGTACAACAGGACAAAAACTGAAGCATGTAAAGAACCCAAAAAAAACTGCTACTTCTTTCACTCTATATGTTTTCCTCCCGAGCTTTCATCATTCATTTTCCTTGCTATGTTAAGTGCGTTTCGTAAATAATATTTTTATGAGAGAACACCTACTCATATGCTCACTGCTACTTGTGGGTAGAACACCGACTTTGGAGGAACCATTTGAGCTTCCCCTTATGAATATCTGCTGAGTCAGTTGATTCGGTGCGGTCTGAAAGATTTTTTAGAATAGATGGTAGGGCAAGCTCTCAAGCACTACAAGACCTGATATGGCCACTCAAATGTACGCTGCTTCCAAAGTTGATCCACAAGCTGACCGCCCACTGATGTTTTTCATCGGTACTTCTCGTGAGGTCATTGAAACAAAAGCCTACAAAATTTTCTCATCATTTCTAATGGATGAAGAGCGCCTCGATGCAGCATGGTCACGATAATGCCAACAATGGTTGAGGGAAAGTTTTGAAAATATAATAATTATGAATCTTACTCGCGTTGAACCGTCAGTGCCATTAGATTTCTCATCGAACCTTTCACTGTAAACCAGTATCACAACCGACTGTACATAGCTCCCCACGATCCTGTATTGCCGGTGGCCGAGCTGGNTTCAAAGCACCCACTATCACACTCGCACACTTTAACATTATCTAGAAAAGCCTTATTCTGTGTTGTTAAGGGAACACATTGTGGGAGCCTTTCAACCATTCCAGCCTTTGAACCATTCCATCAGTACTGAAGCCTATGCAGATTACCTTTCTTTCCAAGGAGCGCTTCGAAAGCGGCATTAGTACAATAATGTCACAAACGATTAAGGAATGGCGTGGAAATGATGTGTATGTAGTTCCCATGTTGAATCCTCAACGCTATAGCAAATGTTCTGAAGAAGCCGTGTTCCTTCTGAATTCTCATCGTACCTTCGACTGTAAACCCGTGTTGCAAGCGATTGTACATCGGCTCCCACGATGCTAGGTTAATTGTGAGTAGAATTGTAGACAAGCAAGTTCATAGGGTAAGCTCAGTTTAGGGATTGTTCTACCTATTCTAAAGTTCCCTATTCGCTCCCTTTGCAGTTAGGAGTGGGATCGTTAGAAAAGACACGATAATTTCTACATATGGGATTGCATTCGTTTTCATTCGCATTTGAAAAGACTTCGTCACGCCTTTGTAAATGAAATTCACACGAAGTTTTTTCAAACTTTCTCCCTCATCGAAAGACGAACGCTTTTGAAATTCTTTTTCACAACACCCTCTGCGATGCCTTTCAAAAGAGCTTTACACCTCGACGAAAGTGCTCTGAGTAGTGACGCTCCTCTCTAGCCCTTTTCTTCATTTCAGGACCTCCGTTAAGTATATCTAAAATTTATCTAAGCTTCGATTAGCACAATACTCAACGTTGGCTGCCCTTTTTATAAGTCTCCATGAGAAATGCTATTGTAGGCCAGTGAAATGCTGTCCAGGCCGACCCTAACTCTTACATTTGTCTGCTGCTTTGTCATTTGTTTTAACTACTCAAATATCTCCGATATTTTAAAATGGTTGGATCGTCCCTTCTAGTAATAAGCACTCCGCCACAACATTTTTGGGTCGAATGATACTTTCCTGAGCACTAAATTCGACAGAGTCTCTACAACGTTGAAACCGGACGCAAAAAGAGGGGAGCTAACATAAGCAGGGTCGTGCCAATGATAGTTGGGGTGTGACGATGCTTACGCCTATGATTAAAGGCACCGTTAACATGATTTTGGGTAATCCAGATTACAATGAAAAACGAAAGACAAGATCGAAACTAGTGCGACTGAGGTGAAGAAACTGCGTGCATCGGTGTTTTCACAGTGAAAAAGGGCCTCGAAAAAACGTTAAAAAGGGGGCTGGACGTGAATGAAACCAGAAAAATGAAGAAGGTGGGGCGCCCGGACGAGCTAAACCTGCGTTTCACTGCGCGCGTGTGGGTCCTGGTGCGAATAACAGACAATGGTAATTCACAATTCATTCACTTATAAGCATGACTAAACAAAAAAACCTTAGTAACAGCGAAAGTAGCTCACCTTTTTCAGCCTTTAGGAGTAGGAAATTGAATAAGGGATCGCGGCAGCAAAAAGAAAAAGAGAGGAAAAAAGAGTGGGAGAAAAACATCGCCTCATCACTGGCGGTTAGCTGTTTGTGCGTGGGTCCTAGAACGAATAATAGCAATCCATATTGACTCGACACTCGTCTAACGTGACACCGATGGAGGGGCGGAGGGCGACCGTGGATATCTCTCCGGCCCGTTAATGTGCCCTATCCAGCCGTTTTCTGACCTTATTCCTGCACAAATGGTACCAGAGGTGGCTTCGAATTCAAACCATGT